ATATATATATATATATATATATATATATATAAACAAACCATTTGCTGTGTCCAGATTGGTGGAGGAGAGAGCTACACTATCGGACTACGCTTTGCTCCCAGCCAGAGTCCGGGCTCAGAGGAAATCCTGGTTTATGTGAATAACTTGGAGGAGAAGACGGAGGAGACGTTCTGTGTTAAAGTCAACTACTCATGAACTGATGTTCGTGTCCTTTCACACCTTCAATGAGAACTGCATTTGTCTGGTTTTGTAAAAGTGTAAAATCTTCACAAATTAGTTCTATTTTTCTCTGAATGTATATTTGACCAGATTCAAGATTCACATTTTCTAGCACATTTTTGTATCATGGAAATAAATTGTAATTATAAAATGTGTGGTTGAATTCACATTTTCTTCACCAAAATAAATAAACTAAATTAACACAAAGACTACAATAATGAAAAAAGTATCAATTCCTGCTTTATTTTATTTTGTTAGCAAATCAATGGATGTCCTCGACTTATGTCAGGATTTAGTTCCTAGCGAGATATGGATATATAAACATTTTCGAAGCTTTTGTTTTTCATCCAAAAAAAAAGAATTGTAAAGGTAAGTATGTATTTAGCAGTCAGCGGAGCAGCACGATCACTTTTAAGGCTAATGTCAGTAGCCGTCTCTGTTCTCTTCCAAAATGCCTGGTGAGTGTGTGACAATTCATCCTTGGCCAGTCAAAGGTGGGTCTGAAGAGTGTAAGCAATAACATTTTATCGACTTTAATTACCCGGCAAGCCCACTTGAACGCCACTTAATGGCTGAGTTTTAATCTAAGCCAAAGCAGGGCCCCCACCACGGCTGCACACATACCTCAGGATCCTTTCGCCTCCCAGGCAACTAATCCTCATCACTGGCATTATTAGAAACAGTTCCATAATGAGGTGTGATTTTCCAGCACGCACACTTTGCTTCCGATCGCCCTCATTAACACTGGCAGCCTTTTTGAAACCTCCGCCCTCCGCTCTCTGCTCTGTGTGTGTCTGAGGGGCAGAGAATGAGAGAAGGCCATGCAGATTGTGTTATGTAACCCAGAGTTACACAACCCCCCTCCCCTCCCCACACACTCCTTCCCACTGCACTTTCATTAGACCGAAGGCTGCAAAATAAGCCTCGGCACAGCAGCAGCAGCAGCGGCAGCAGCAGCAGCAAAGGCTAATAAAAAAAGAACAACAAAGTCAGGTGTCCTGCAGCTCCACCACCTTCAGTGTCTCGTCTGAGGCACTAAGCTTCCAGACGTCTCTTCTATGTGTGTGTGTGTGTTTAACATATAAACATACAATAAAGGTGCATCAGCGTCAAACCATAATGAAGGGGTCTAAAATTAGCATTGATGAATGAAATGAAAATTAAAATATCTTCATAAAAAACCCATATAACAGGTGTAAATGAATGAATGTGCTATATCTACAGTACAGTCCATGTCCATGTTCACAAATATTATTGGAAACCATCCATCCACCGTCTACTGCTTATGGGTTTTCAGGGTCACGGGGTCACTGGAGCTCATCCCAGCTATCTACGGGCGAGGGTGGGGTACTCCCAGTCCGTCACAGGGCCACACATATAGAGACAAACAACCACTCACTCATATGCATACCTATGGTCTATGTATAGTCTCTGATCAACCCACTCCCCTATCAAGCCGGTTTTGGTCTGTGGGAGGAAGCTGGAGAACCTGGAGAGAACCTACAGTACTCACACACGGGGACGATACAGACGGTCGACTATCGCATCACTCTTCTTGCTGTAGAGGCATTCTAGAGCCGTTCTACCAACGTTCGCCACCTTATGGCCATTATTGAAAACCAAATCAGCAAATTAAATCACGCACCTAAGAGAAGAATAAAAACTAAAAAGGATATTTTCTGTTTCAAGATCTAAATAACTTACAGGTTAATCCATCATTAAACTGACCCAGTGGTCCTCGTAGATCCTCCACCGCTCTGGACAGCTTATTATGCTGCCAATATCAATGCTATTTGAAATATGGAGTACTGTTTAGCCTTGTTCATTCATGTTCAGCTATTGGTCGTGCTTTGATAGAATATTGTGTTGAGGCCTGTTCTTTTGATCCACATTATTTCCTTGCTGGAAATTATATGTAGTAAGAAATATTAATTACCTACAGAGTATTTAAAATATTTATCAAACAAAAAAAAAAAATCAATGTTTTTTTTCTCCTTCGCGTGTTTTTAAGAACCTGTTGTGCTTGGTTGCCTTGTGTGCAACTACCCATGTAGGAGCATGACTGTTGTTTACTCTGTGTACCTCACCCTGGGCCACTGTCCTGTTGAATCAATGAGCAAATGTGAGATGTGTGATATGAACTCATGTACAGCACCTCTGGTGTGTGTGTGTGTGTGTGTGTGTGTGTGTGTGATGCTCTCTGTTGCTGCTCCTCTTTGTGATTCAGTGTGGGATGACCGGGCTGGTGTGTTTTATGTAAAGTCATTTTTTCTTCCCTTTCTCCTGTTCTGAGACCGTGAACCCAGTCAGAGCAGCAGGGCTCAGAGCTCGCTGCACGGTTGTTTTCTCAGCAAGAGGGCAGAGCAACGCAGACACCTTATTAGCGCTGCCAGTCCAGTTGTTGTCGGTTCCTCCTGAAGGAGCACAGACAGCCGCCACAACAGCTCTCGCTGTCTGCTCACCTTGTTAGTAGTGTGGTTAGACGTCTCCTGTCTAACTGCCCTGCGGTTAGGATGCCTTGATATTTTGCTGGATGGAAAAGTGCCTGATATTTCCCTGATGTGCAGGAACACAGGTCAGGATAGGTGCGTGTGTATGTTTTTTGGTGAAAAAATTGCAATTTGTAGTTTGAAAAATAACTTTTTAAAAGAAGAAGGGTTATTTTGTTTTGTATTGAATGAAGTGTAAACTTAGAAACACATCCTAAAAAGAGATAAAAACGAAGAAGTCAAAGTAACAGTACCTGTGATACGTTTGGTCAAGTTTGGGTATAAAAGGAGAATCCACTAAAGGCTACGTAAAGACTTAGGGAGCTGGAAAAGTCTATACAGTACGCCCAAAGGCCGAGACCACAGAAAGCACAGACCACTGCTGGTGCATGCAGGGTGCATGACCTTTCAACCTCAGAACTACTACTACTATGATGGAAATAGCCATATGAGTACAGAACAAGTTCTCCGTCGTACAGTTTAGTAGTTTTCTGTCTTCATCAATCAAGATACAAAAGGAAAAATTGGCAAAACCCACCATGTATAAGATCAGTAGCAATGACTTGGTAGAGATTCAAACAGACAACTGTATCCATTTGAGTCGTAAGTGAGTAATGGTGACGACTTGACCCAGGAACTCAATGGATTGTTCATCAGGACAATGTCAGTAACCGAAAAAGACGAGAAAGAGAGAGAAAGAGGGTGAGACACAAAATGTCAACAGAGTTGTGGTGATGTCTCCAGAGGACAACAGTGCAGGACATTATACGTATGTATGCTGCATGTAAAGGACTTGTGTTTCTTATATTAGACGATGAGACAACACAGAGGGGAGGGGTGAGAAACAGGAATCCAAATGGGCTCCACTCGGTGAAGGGAGACACTGTGATTGGATTAGATGTGAAGTGTGTAAAGGAGCTCTAAATAAACTGAAATTCAATTACCTTGTTACCAGTCTCAGCAGGACCCTCCCTCAGTGTCCCCCCCACGCCCGGCTTTGTATTCATTTATTTCCCACTGCATCTCTGTTCATCTCTTGCTACAAACACAGAAGTCCATCTCTCAGTAGATGGCAGCCGACTCTCACTGCTCTCCTTCAAAACAGCAGTTGTACACAGTCCAGCAATCAAAAATGGCTCTGAGGCTCAGACACCTCCCCGGTCTCTGAAATCAATCTGTCTTTTAATCTCTTAATCAATCCTCAGCTCTCTTTGTTAATCTGCTTCTTGGTCCAATTAACCCATGGCGATTGGCTGCGTTCTATTAATGCGGCAATTACTTTGAATCAATTCCAAGGACAAGATAATAGTTGTTTTAGAATAAACGACATTTACACTGGCGACCAGATCCTGATGTTTTTGACTTGTTTTCCAGTCTAGACCTGATAAGTGCACTTATCGTATTATTAGCATCAGGTTGTCATTAATAAACAGATATCACTTCCTCAGTGCTTGTCATTTTAAATGATGGGAGGAAAATCTACAGCTCTTGCTCTGCCTGAAATACATTCTGGATGTCACTGAAACGTTGACAGTCAAAGCTTGATGAATGGAGTTGATATTTGCCAATTTTGGACATTCTTTCTTACTACAAAATATTCGTGCTAGGCTGCATGGATGGGTTATCTGTCTGTGATAACAGTTTTAAAACTGGAAATGATGACAGTAGTTGGTGAAATATGATTGTAAGGTAACACCACATAGTTAACCTACACATTCCTATCAAACCAGATTTGTTTATATAGACCAAATAAGCAAGTTATGTTTGGTCAGACCTGAGCATTGAGAGTCTCTTCTGTCCATAATCTAAAATCCATAGACCACAAGGGGTGTGGTCACTGTGAGAACGAGCCATTTATTTCTGTACACATGCACAGGACTAGGTGAAAAACATCAGGTTTGACAGGATGTCAAGTATCTAGTATTGGTAACTGGAAACACTGGGACATTCTCACTGGTCCATCAGTGGGCCAGGGAGCTGTCTAAAAAAATCCTGATTTTATTCTTCCTTGACAGCGTACATGTCATTTAGAACGATGATGACAGAGAACTGTGTCTGTTCCAGACCCGTCCCAGTGAGTTCACCCAGTACTCCACTGTATGCCTCGTTTTTCTGTTTTTATTATTAACTTCCTCTTTGCTACAGGACTGGATTCATCACTACATGTTCTCCAAGTGACCTCTTCTAAGTGCCCTTCATCAAACTCACCGTCCACCTCACAGTAAATAATCTCCACTCAGGAAAATAAAGGGAGAGAAACTGGCAGTACAGTAGGAGAGAGGCTGAAGGAAAGCTGAGCCAAAATATTAAATGAATAAAAGTGAAAAAGCATGTTTTCTTCCTCCTCTTTGGGACTAAAATCCAGAGAAAACTTTTTCTATCAGATAACAGGGGGGCAGTTACACCAGTGGCCATTAGAGGGTGGGTTCATGTGGGTTTATCCAATCATAAACCAAAGATATATTGTGGGCCGGTGCCCTCTTAAAGATTTTATGATGGAAGCAGTTACACAAAGTGAGCGACGGTGCCAAGTGGAGGGAGGGCTGTGTGATCATATCTTCTAGTTTGCATTCATATTCTGTCTACACAGGATTCAGATATGGAAGTGTGGAGTTTTTGCATGAGAGAATAAAAACTGCAGGTACAGTTGACCTTTACCAAC